CTGCAGATGGGGATATTTTAATCTCTAAGCTGCCAAAGCTTATTCATTTAATTAATGTTTTTCATTATTTATCATTGTAGCCAACATTTCTAAAACCACAATAAATAGAATTCATGCATGTCATTGAATATCCCTGTCTTAGGTTCGTTTTGAATGGAAGTGCCTTTAATTTTATATTGTTAGCTTTTGTTTTCAAGCAGATTTATTAATCATGTTAAGGCTAAATCCTTTTATTCTTATACTTTGCATCTCTTGTATATGCCCACTTTTCTCCTCTGTCACTGCTACTACCCTGGTCTAGATTCTCTTTACTTCAAGTTTGGATTGTTGGAATAGCCTGCTGGTTGGTTTCCCTGGCTCAAGTCTCTCTAGGCCATTCAGTTCTCAAATTCATCTTTCTAAAGCACAGGTCTGACCATTTGACCTCTCCCTCCTTCCCTCCGCCATTCAATAAACTCTAGTGACTCTCTGTTGCCTTCAGTATCAAGTGCAGTCAATTCTGTTATAATATGACATAGGTGTTGCCAACCACACTATGCAAAATTATGGAATAAAAACCATGGATCTTGGGAGGAAAATGAGATGATGGGTATAACAGTCAAAAACTTTGTCAGTGATAACATTAAAAAAAGATAGGAACCTAATAAAAATGGTAATACAGTTTTATGTATGTTACATGGTAAAGAAATACATAAATACTATAATAAAGGGTGGCAGTATCTGAGGCTTTGGGCTGCTACTCAGCTTCCACCCTGGTTCCCAGAGACCTGAGCTGTCATAATATCTCAGAAGCTGAGCAGGCCTAAATTTTAGGTGATGCTTAGCCATGGCAGAGGGTGAGAACCAGCCCTCTTATGCCCACACAGTGGGCACAAGGGTTTACTACACTAGAAGACAGACAATAAATATGGTACTACACCTTGACAAAGACCTGGAGTTTACTTGTGGAGGTGGATGTCAGAAGGGTTGCAGCTTGTGAGTTACTGTGAAGTAGTGTTGTTTTCTCCATTCGAGGTGTTGAGAAAAAAAATCACACAGAAGCAAACTCAAAATTTGAGTTAGGCTCAAAATACCTCTAATACATAAATTGTGTAGGAACAAATTCATATTTTCAAAATGCATGTTATAGTAGAACTGACTGTGTAAAATCCTGTTTGGCTGTTAAACACCTTTATAACTTGGTCCTTTCCTGTCTTTCCAGGCTTCTTATCACCTTACTCCCCTCTATGTATTTTGCAATTTAGTGACAGTGGTCTCTATGCTGTTCCTTGCACAAGACACTCCTACCTGATGTTGGCCTTTTCATTGGCTGTTCCTCATGCCTGGAATTCTCTTCCTTCTCAAATCTGCCTCCTGATTTCCCTGACTTGCTTTACTTCCCAGTTAAAATCCTACCTTCTTTAAGAAGCCTTTCCTGGGGCAGCTAGGTGGCAAAGTAGAGTACTGGCACTGGAGTCAGGAGGACCTGAGTTCAAATGTGTTCTCAGACCAGATGCGTGACACTTACTAGCTGCGTGACCCTGGGCAAGTCACTTAACCTCAATTGCCTCATCAAAACGAAACAAAACAAAAAAAAAACCCCCAAAATCTTTCCTGATCCTCTTTAATCTTGGTGTCTTCTCTCTGAGATTCTCCCAGTTCACCCTATATATGTCATAATTGTATATACTTGCTGGGAGTTTTCTCCCCTATTAGATTGTGAGCTCCTGGAGAGCAGGGTTCTTTCTCTTTTTTCTTTTCTTTCTTTGTATTCTCAGTGCTTAGCACCATGCCTGGCACATAGTAGTTGTTTAGTAAATCTGTTGACTTGGTTTGACTTTAAAAATTACTTTTAACATAAATGGGTGCCATAGTTTATTAAATACCTTTTACTTATCTATCAACATAACCATATAATTTAAAATATATTTTCATATGATTTTATTATATTTTTAACATTAAGCTGTTTTTGCATTCTATGTATAAATTCTATTTAATCATGTTTTTTCTATATTCTTTATAATATTTTAATTATTTTAAATATTAATGATATTGATCCATACTTTTTTTAGTCTTATTTTTTCCAAATTTGGGTTAGAAAATCACACTTGCCTCATCTTTTTTCTGTATATAGGAAGTCTATTTAATAGTAGAGGGATTACTTACACTTTGAAGATTTGGAAGAGTTAATTTTTGAATCTGTCTACTTCTGGTAGCCTTTTCTGGGATGGTTATAATTATTTTAATGACCTCTCTGACTTATTTTTTTGAGATTGGTGTTTTTATGTTATTTTTTTCTAATGATGCCAAATCCTTTGCCCCAAAGAACATGGAACTTAAAAGATTATAGATATAGAGCTGAAAGGAACCTCAAAGATCATCTAATTGAACCCCTTTATTTTACAGATGAGAAAACTGAGACCCAATGAGATTGAATGATTTACCTAAAGTAACATAAGCATTAAGTAGACATAAAAGGGAGGGCTTTGGACCAACGCCCTTTCCAGAATTAAAGATTGAACAATCAGTTGAAAGATGCTGCCTCCACTGTCTGAGGTCACACAGGTATTAAGTGGCAGAACCAAGATTAGAACTCATACCCTCTTAACTCCAAATAATGTTTGTTTGTTTGTTTGTTTTTTGGGTGAGGCTATTGGAGTTAAATGATTTGCCCAGGGTTACATAGCTAGTAAGTGTCAAGTGTCTGAGGCCAGATTTGAACTAAGGTGCTCCTGACTCCAAGGTCAGTGCTCTATCCACCGCACTACCTAGATGCCCCTTGTATGTTCTTTCGGCACATTACTTATCTCATAAACAGTTGCCTGAAGTGCTGAGATTAGATTATTTAATAGCTCATAGTTCCAAAAATAGTTAATAATTTTTGGAAACAATTTAAAATCAGAGTGGCTAATAAATTGGGTTCATTGCTTTTTGGTGGTGGAGGATGCTAAGAATCATAATGATTTGGAACCAAAGTGAGCTGGGAAATGACTGAACAAATTATAGTATATGAGCATAATGGAATAGAATTGTAGCATAAAAAATTGGTGAAATCTTAGATTTAGAAAAATCTGGGAAGATTTACATAAACTGATGCAGAGTGAAGTGCTGGTAGGACACTTCATATAATAAATTTATATAATAGCTAAAATAGTATAAAATTAAACAACTTTGAAAGATTTAAGAACTTTGATCAATGCAATGATTTATCATGACTTCAGAAGCCTGATGGTTATCTTAGAGTTGGGACTTGTAATGTCTGGTTTACCATCACTGAATCCCTCCCATCACCACTGTTGGGGTCACTTAATCCTTAATTGTAGGGCTAGCTCTATCAACTTTGCCGCAAGGTAGGGAAGACAAAAAGCCTCTTCATTTTATAACTTGGTGGCTCATGATTGCCTAGCTTGTTGCTGGTTTTTCTTTGCCCTTGTACCTAGTTCCAGTAGCTTAGCCCCTTGCTTTGTTCATTGTGACCAAGATATTTCTTTCTATCCCAATTCTAAAAACTGGTCTTTGTTTTAGTCTCTGCTTTGACTGCTATTCCAACTCCTATGAAGCTAGATTCCTCTTTTACTTCCTCTAGTCTTCCTGAGTATTGTTGCCAGATCTTCTGACATAGCCTTCCTTCTTAAGCCTTTACATAATGGCCTGAAACCATACTTCTCCGACAGGGTGCTTCCCACACATGTTGGAACATCCACCTCTTCAGATTTCCAGAGTTCCATTATGCTCCCTACCTGTTGTCTAACATTCTGTTTATTGCTTATTGCCATGATCACTTCCTCAATAAAAATACAACAACTCAGCACACGTTTATTAAATGCAGTCAGGACGTGCAAGAACTATGCTAGATACTGACAGAAATGAAAGTCTCTGCCCTCAAGAAGCCCTCATTCTGCTTAATGTCCAGGGCATATAACATATAGATAGATAAATAATACAAAGTATTTTCAAGTAAGAGAAAGCATTAACAATTGGGTAGGGAGACTCAGGAAAGGCTTCATATAGGAAAAACTAACTACTTCTCTTCCTTCAGAGGGCCTGACCATCCATTGTCTGTCCAGTTCTTAATTGACCAAGCCCAATTAATTCCATTGCTTTCATAAATAACTGTTGTTTCCACAAGTATGCTAAAACTGAATAGTATGGTATGCAGAGTACAAAGAGACTGCTCAAGAACTACTTCAATCAAGCTCTATTGAGGAGGTAGTGAAAAATAGAATCACTCCTTTTCTATGATTTTAAAATATTATTTGTTTAATAAAGTGAGTGTGGCTATGGTAGTTTTGTGTATATTTTGATAGTCTATATCAATTCATTTGGTGCTTATAATTTATCACCTTTTTTATGGGTACATCACATTTCCAAATGAGGGCAAGGACTGTTTTATATCTCATTGTGTCTTTCAAAGTACCTACTACAAAGTAACAAAGTAGAAATTTTATTAGTGAAAAGATAAATCCATAGATTTGAGTTCTGGATTGGCTATTTACTTGCTCAGCTTTAAATTAGATACTTGCTAGTTACATTGAATCTTTATGCATGAAGTAAAAAGCACTTTTAGCTTATGCCTGGTGCTCTAGTCTAGGTCAAGGGTTTTAGAGATTCAGGACAGCTTGGTATCAAAAGCCCTTACAAACTTTTTTTCTATTAGCATTAACTTTATTTCAAGAGAATGCTAATGACTTTATTACAATTTGTATGTGAAAAACAAAACAAGACAAAACAAAACAAACCTTTCATTTGTCCTCTCAAGTTCCAAATGAGATAGTGTTTGTAGACTACCTTGCAAAACTTAATTATTATATAATGTTCAATATTATTATTCTAGAACATTTTTTATTCAACATATTTTAGTAGTAGAGGTTTCAGTTTTAATCTAAGTGCACCAGAATATAACTCTGAAAATATTTAAATGGAACATAATGAAATTTTTAAAAAAGACAAAGTTGTTGGTTTTTTTTCCCCATAGCAGATTGTATCAATCCTTAAGTCTCCCGTGTTGTTTTCTTTTCTAGCTTGATGACTGCACACTCCAGCTTTCTCACAATGGCACATATTTGGATTTGGAATCAACTTTAGCTGAGCAAAGAGATGAACTGGAAGGCTTCCAGGAGGATGCTGGGTAAGCACGGTTCTCTGTAGATTTGATATATCATGTTATCAGGGGATGTGGATTACATTTATGAAAATGGATTTCAAATTTAATGCATCGAAATGGTGAAAAGAAACCTCAGAGGCCCTAGTTTTATTTGTTTCATCACTCACAATAACTGAAGAGAATAAACATAAAAGATGAGTAACATCCAAGGCTTAGTTGGGGGTGGTTTTGGGATCAATTTCTCTTTCTGTTGCGTGGTAAGGAGTTGTGGTTTGTTGAGGTAATTGACTGTAGGCTATTCTGGAAATATTTTTTATTTCAATTATGGTTTCAACAAATATGTAGAATTTTTCTTTTTCATTTTTAAAAAGCAGATTTTTACCAATGAATTATCTGACATTTTACATTAAAATTGTGTTCTTACTGATTTGTGTCTTTTACTACTATTACTTATTATAATATTATAGTAATAATGATAATACTATCAATAATTAATGCTATTATTTAATAAAGTAATACTAATAATAGCTAACATTTATATAGTGTTTACTATATATGCCAGTCTCTATGCTAAGTGCCTTAATTATTATCTCGTTTGATCCTTGCAGCAACCCTGGAAGGTAAGTGCTGTTATTATTCCCATTTTACAGATGAGAAAACTGAGGGGTTTAAGTGACTTGCAAAGGGTAATATAACTAGGAAGTATCTGAGGCTGGATTTGAACTCAGGTCTTTCCGACTCCAGATCTGACTCTCTATCTACTGGATCTTTTAGTTCATTCAAAATTACTGGGTATTTTTTTTTTTTAATGGAAAACTATCCCAACAGTTTTGTATTTCACCACAGGAGCTTTGGCTCATACCGACCGCCTTGCTTCAAATGAACCATCCCACTTATCCTGAAGTGGATATGCCAGGAATGACTGTGAAATATTACTCCAAACTTAGGATGTTGGTTCTTGGCTCTGGCTTCCATGTAGCTTTCCTGGGAAGCTATTTGCCGAGCTGTAACTTGGAGCCCCTGGGTATCTCATGCTTGGGTTTGTTCTGTTGAGAAGAACCTCCCCTGCTTGGAATTGTGAGTCTTCTTCCTGGGACCATGTTCTAGGTACTGATTTAATCCAATCCATTAAAATAAATGTTTATTAAGCACCTACTAAGTGCCAGTTACTGTGCTAAGCACTGGGATGCAGTAATGAAGACAGTCTCTGCCCTCAAGGAGCTTGTAATCTAATAGAGGGAGACACACAAAAAGAGGCAGGAAAGTGAGGGAAGAGGGGGAGGAAGACCATGGAACAACCAGCAAGGGGGCATCTTCGGAGTTGAGACAAGGTGAAACAACAGATGCAGAGTAGAGTGAGCTGAAACGTACGGTTTCTGCCCTCTATAAAGGAAGGCTTTGGGAAGAGTTTGGTATTCTACCCTCTAATCAGAGAGGAGTGGTGGCAGAGGGAGATGGTGTCAGTCAAGGCTTGAGTTACCAGCATGGTAATGAGATTAGAAGTGATTTAATAGCCCTCTGAAAATCTTAAAGAGCTACATAAATGTGGGTCATTATTAAAAAAAAATAAACTATCCAAATATCAGTTTTCAAACAAAGAAAACAGTAAAGGTAAAAATATATATAGACTGTGTTGCAAATATTGTAGCATAAAATTCACTTCTCTGGAAGATAGGATAAAATCTGTAGAAAATAGGTGATAATATAATGAAAGGAGGTGAGAGGAGAGACTCTCTATAGGCCATGTCTGTTGTAACTAGCACTTTTGGGGGAGGGGTCACTAATGATTCCCTAATAATCAAGCTTAGTGTTCTTTTTTCATTTCCTCTTTCTCTCCATGGCTTTGAGGGTTCCCTCTTCTCTTGTGTTTTGCCTGGATCTCTGCTGCTGCCCTTCCGGCCTCAGCCAGGTTGTCCTCAATTGCCTGCTCCCCTGTGCAGGCATCACACGGCTCTGCTGCCGATTGGTCCCTGGGAACCGAGGGGACAATCTAGAAACGGGGGCAGGAAACTACCTGGGGGATCTCACTTCTAACTCTGAAATTCTGATACATATTTGCTTTTCCTACTTCACAGAGCCTCTGTTGAGATCAAATGAGATGACTTTTAAAAATGTACTTTGAACTTTTGAAAGTCCTTCGGATATTAGCATAACTAATAATAATAAAAAGCCATACTAGATTAATCTGATTTCCTTTTGGTAGAGTCACTAGATCAGGGCCATACCAGAGACATATTTTTATTTCAAGTGGCCAGTGTATTGGAAAGAACATTGCATTTTGAGCTAAAAGGCCCGGGTTCATGCCCTGAACTAACTATTTCAGTGAATCATTCATTTATTAAGCACCCACTATGAGCCAGGCACTGTACCAAGCACTGGAAATACAAAGAAAGACAAAAGATAGTCTCTTCCCTCTAGGAGTTCACAATCTAATGCTTAAACTTAACTTGTCTGAGTTTTTATTTCATCTGTATGCTAAATAGGAATAATAATCCCATCTCTATCTTCCTTATTCTAGTGGATGGATAATGAACCAGCCTTGGAGTTAGTAAAACCTGGGTTTAAGTCCTTTATCTGACATATACTGGCTTTTGATCTTAGACACATCACACAAGCAACTCTAAGACTATAAATCACGGAGCAAGTGAGGATTGTATTAATTGAGTGAGTTTCCTTATTGAGAGTTCCCGTAGCATTGAAACCACAAGTCTATTCCCAAATCTTTCTCTTACAAGACTCTGTAAGGATTTAATTAAATAGTGAACAGGATGTTTTATAATAATAAGGTATTATTTAAATGTCAAATAACATTCCTTTTTTAAAAAAAATATAAGAATATAAAAATGATTTGTGATTTACTACTAGTATGGGAACTTCCTCTACTGAAGATTTAAGGTCTTTCTCTGACTTAGTATATAAGACACTGGTAGTTACTTGACTGAGGCACAGTGTGTGACTGGACCAGGGTCACACAGCTGATAAGTGTTAGGAGTAAGATTCGAACCCAGATTTACCTGACTCCAAGTCAAGTACTATATCCACTATGCCATCCATACTGCCTGTCTATAATTATTATTATTCAAACACTTAGAAAAAGGCCTCTAAGGTGTTGGATGAGTGGGCCTTAGTCAGAGATTTATGACAGTTATGAACAATGGTTGCATCAATGAGAAGGTCTGGATGGAGTGTACTGTGTGTTGTTGTTGCTTATCCTTTCTTCTGGAAGAGGAGGACCAGTGAATTGACAATGAAGAGGACTTGCCAGTGAATTGGATTTAAGTGAGGCAGAGCTGTGCAAAGTCACCAGTGTCACTCTCTCCTCCAGAGTTACTGGAGTCCAGTGGCAAGACAAGAGTCAAGACAACTGGTGATGGTCCTGGATGCAGTGGGTGACCTTAGCCTTTCTAAATTAAGGTCTTTCCCAGGTCTCAGTTTGTTTGAGGTCATGCCCATTTAATGACTAAGACTGTACATTAGTGGAAGAAATCCAACTACATGGCATGGTACAGCTAGGTGGTGCCATGGCGTACAATAGTGGAGTTCAAATCCAGCCTCTGACGTTTACTAGCTATGTGACTTTGGGCAAGTGACTTAATCTCTGTTTGCCTTGGTCTCCTCCACTGTAAAAAGGGGAGAGTAATAACAGCTACTACCCAGATTTGTTGTACAGATTACATGAGAAAATATTTGTAAAATCCTTAGCACAGTGCTTAGAACATTGTTAATACTATACAAATGCTGGCTATGATGGTGATGGTAATGATGATGATGTCCCTACCATATCAATGAGTTCACAGATTTATTGAAGAGGTATTCAGGCATTTGGAATTTTTTTTTCTTAAGCACAAGTTGGAGAAATGTGTTTGGGATGATGATATAAAATTGAATCGCTAGGTGGTTGAACAGTCCTACTGAAAAAGGTTTGATTAAGGCAACTTTGTCAATGAGGAAACCAAATTGCTCTCCAGAATGGTTGGATCAGTTCACAACTCCACCTACAATGCATTAGTGCTCCAATTTTCCCATATCTTCTCCAGCATTTATAATTTTCCTGATTTGTCATGTTAGCCAGTCTGATAGGTGTGATATATACCTCAGAGTTGTTTTGATTTGCATTTCTGTAATCGATAGTGATTTAGAACATTTTTTCATGTGGCTATCGATAGCTTTAATTTCTTCATCTGAAAACTGCCTATTCATATCCTTTGACAATTTTCAATTAGGGAATGACTTGTATTCTTATACATTTGACTAAGTTCTCTATATATTTTAGAAATGAGGCCTTTATCAGAGACACTGGTTGTAAAAATTCCCAGCTTTCTGCTTCCCTTCTAATCTTGGTTGCATTGGCTTTGTGCAAAAACTTTTCAATTTAATGTAATCAAAATCATCCTTTTGTATTTCATAATGTTCTCTCTCTCTTGTTTGGTCATAAATTCTTCCATTCTCTATGAATGTGACTGGTAAACTATTCCTTGCTCTCTCAATTTGCTGATAGTATCAGCCTTTATATCTAAATTGTGTACAACTCAACATTTCTAAAATAGAACTTAATATATTTTCTCCCAAATACATTTCTCTTCCAAACTTTCCTTTGACTGTTGAGGGTAAAATCATCCTTTTTGTCACCTAAATTCAAAATCTTGATGTCATCTCTTGATGTTCCTCACTCTCACTCACCTAACATATCTTAGTAGTTGCCAAGTATCATTGTTTCTGTCTCAATATCTTTCTCATACATCCCGTCTCCTCTTTTCACCAGTTCACCTCACTTATCCAACCAGTCACCAGATAATGTCATTTCTGCCATCACATCTCTCCTCTTCATCCTCTGTGCTCCACTCACACTATTCAGCCCCTCATCACCTCTATAATAATAGCCTTTTATTTGTTCTGCCTACATCAAGCCTCTCCCTACTCCAATCTATCTTCCACACAATGAAAGGTCTGTTTGTTTTTTAACAGGGGTTTAATACCTGCCCTGTGACCATTTTATGTAATACCACAGAATGTTTTATCATCAC